ATATATATATATATATATATATATATATATATATAACACTCTAGCTCACTAATATATTGCAAGGCGTGCAACCCATCGAGCGCCGCTGTTGTCACCCTTCACGCAGGTTAATTTCAAGAAGGCGGCAGCAGTGGTTTAGTGGAAAACATATTAAACAGAAATTCAACTTTTGAGAGCAAAATAAAGCGACGGCATTGGCGTATACACCGTAGATAATACAAAACATTACACACGCACGACCGCGCTCCTTCAGTGTGTTTATGGGTTAATCGAGTCATTTTTTCGGTTAATTTAATTTCTTTAAACAATATAAATGCAGGAAAATATAAATTTCAATGAAATATCGCCAAACCGAGAAGAAGGTTCGGCGGAACTCTGCACGTTGCATGGAGAAGAGCTGCGCATACACCCCAGAACACAGAGGCGCTGGAAACCTGCAACTGAACACCGAAGAAGGGGGAGAAAATAAAAGGAATTAGCGTTGTAATTAAATTATTTATGATATTTTATTTCATTTCATTCAAAAGAAATTTCAAAAACTCGAACAAAAGCCCCGCTTTCCACCTGAAGTCCGCTGGTCTGTGCCGCAACCACCGCGATACATCATCAGGATTCTAGATGAAGGTTTCACACGGTATCCTCCATTAATTTGGCTTTATAAGTAAAATAAATGATGAATTTATATTTTTATTTCCAGTATTTGCCGACGTCACAGCAAACTGCTGCTCTTGGCCTCTAGCAACCCTCTAAACCCTCCCTCCCCCCCTCCACCTTCTTATAAGAAGCTGCTGGCTTTCTGTTTCTTTTTATTACACCCCAAACGCCGAATGAATCCACACAACCCTTTTGAGGATTTCTCGTCCTACTTGAATCCAAATGAATACCCAGGGCCCCCATTTCACGCAGAGGGGGGCCCCCATGTGTCGCCTCCTTCACAGCCCCTGAACACAGCGCCACGGGGGCCCTTTGGGGGCCCCCCGAGGGAGCAGAGGAGTACGAGGAGGCCCTATGAGGGGGCCCCAGATGCTTTGTCAGCTTCCTGGGGTGTCGAGACACACGAGAACACCCACGGAGTGCAGAGGGGGAGGGCTCTCGCTGCAGCTGCTAGGACAGCAGGAACACGTCGTGCTGCTGCAGTTCCTGCAGCAGCAGCAACAGCAGCAGCAGCAGCAGCAGCAGCAGCAC